CGTGACTGACGGCCGGGGCTCGCACAAGTTCAGACAGTGGTGCTGTAATGGTGTGTGTTTAGGATGGGTGACAATAATATTTCAGTCAGCGAGTGTGTGTGCGTGTGTGTGGTTTCTCTGTTAATCAAACAGTTCTGAGGTAAATGCAATTGTGGCTTTTAACTTTTTTGGTTCCATAGAATCAGTGGAACATGGGACAACACGTTAAAAGAGGAAAAGATGGTCTGCATGATGAGGTCTGTCCATAACAAAGATTTTCCTCTCCATTGAAAAAAAAAAAAAAAAAGATGGAGGGAATAATAACTTTTTTCCAACCTTAAACTCCAACTAATTGCTTAACATTTCCTCTACAGATTCATATGTGGATGTGAGCCAACACACAGGACTTTGGCACATTTGAGAGTTTCCTACTCATCTTATTCAAAGGTGTTCCTTAACCACATGCACTGGCTGCCTGAAGAGCCGTGAAGAACGACGGCCCCGTTGAGATAAGCCATAAAGGCAGTAGAAACACATGTTGTTTATGTACTCGCTCACTGTATACAGGGTATATCTCTATAAAAGTGGTGAAAAACAGGGTGAAAATTATGCTTCTGCTATCACCTGGCGATTGAAGTTCTCACATCGCAGCTGTTGGGGTCATAAGTGCAACAGCCTTGAAACTTTCAGCCCATGGAGGTCAGTTTTTTTTTTCTGCCAAAAAACAGTGCAGTTTAAAAGATAACACAGATGCTCGCAGAATGAAAATACTCTACATATGACCGAGCGATGCAGAGTCCTCCCTTCATCCATCTTTTCCATTTGTCCTCTGTGATTCACAGTGTAATTTCCAAGTGATCTCAGCAGAAGACGAAGAGTCTGCATTCCTTGCGGTTTAGCAGGGCTTTGAGTTACATGTTAACATGAGAGTGCTAACATGCTATTTATTTAGCAGGTGTAATGTTTACCATATTCACCATCTTAACACTAAATAGCACTACAGCTAAGTACGGCCGATGGGGATGCCAATTTATTTTGCAGGTTTGTGGACATGAACCAAAAGATCACCAAAGTTATTACAACTAATCCTCAGGGATCCATGAACTAATGTTTTACTGTGTTGCTAACAACGCTAATCTAATAAAGCAAGTATTGCTCAACACCAGAAACAATAATTGTGCGTGTTACTTTTCTAAGCAGTGTAAAAATGACTATATTATGAATGAATGTTTATAATGAGTTCATCTGAAAACAGGCTTTAAGAGGCAAAAGCTGCAGAAAATGTTTTCAAACATGCTTTGCTGTGTGGCCAAATTACTACACACACTGTTTATGGCCGAAAGTTCCTGTATGAGTCTGCACACACAAATCGACAAACCGTTATTGCATCATCTGCCCTTTACCATTGGCTCTCTATGCCCACAGCTTCGACTAAGAACTAAGAGCACACCACAGCAATGAACTGCAGTGCCTTCACGACTGGGCAACAGAGATGCAACCTAAAACAAACTATAATTATCTATTTGTGGTCCTGCTTGGGGCAAATATGAACAGAATACAAAAGCACACACACGACGTTTGGAGTTCCAGTAAGTTCCACAACCACAGTTTAGTCTCTCCGGGATACTGGGTTCCTCTTAACTGAACCTCTTTGCTTTCTTTCCTGAATGACACATGCGCACACACACGCTCATGCACGCACTGAGTGTAACACTAGCTCCCTCCAGACCACACTGTCACTGGGGCAGCTTGCCTCGCCTGCCTGCTGCGAGCCTGGCCGGTGCCTTTTTTTTTTTTTTTTTTTTTCCTAGACACTGCTTCAGACTTACACTATCTGTTTCCACAGCCGTGCGCCTGCTGACCCAAGAATGTGGACAGCGCTCTGGTACATTGTTTTACAAGGCTAAGCAGTGTATTTGAGATGGGAAATGTAGACTCTTGCTTGTTTTATGGGAGAAAACCAACTGCGTGTGTGTGTGTGTTTGCTCTTGCGTGCATGTGTGCTCAATTTGTTTTTAAGTGATAATCTGTGATATTCATGTTTTTTTCCCATTTTTGGTGACGTCTTTAGTGAAATATTGCTTTAGTGATATAGTGTCTAATGTATCTTGTACCCCTGCGTATATGTTCCAAAGAAATTATAAAAAATAAAGTTTGGGATTACGCTTTGAGGGATCCATTTATAGGCCTTAAAGGGAAACTCCACCAATTTTATTACATTTATACTATTGCATATGTGAAAAAGGTGGTTAAAGGCTGGCCCTCCTCTCTGTTTTAAGCTAGCAGCAAAGCCACATTTGCCGCTACTAGCATAACACACTTGGACCTGTACAGTCAAATAAACTGCATTGAGTTGCACTGTGGGTAATGTAGGCACCATGTTTTTACAAGGAAATTACTCCGGTTCTGCTGCATCGATTTTGATATTTTATATTTTTTTCTTCAGGTGAATTGTGAGTGTCAGTGTTATAGGAGTGCCATGCTACACTGGTGGAGCACTTCTTTAATGGACCGTAAATGAATTCATGACCTGGCGGTAGATTTACTTGTTTTAACTCACAAACATCATGCAGCAAGTCCCTTTCTTATCTATACTTTGTAAAACTTGCACAATTTGGTAAAAGATGCATTTTTTGCATAATGTTTCTTCACTTCAGGAATCAAGAGTACACAGAATAATTATTAGTTGCTGTGAAGTTGTATTTTCTTTTGCCTGTTTTCTTACTTAGGGCTGCAACTACTGAGTATGGCATATTTCCCCCTTTTTTTCTTTTTCTACACACGTTATTTTGGTATTTGTAGCATATATTTAGAGTCAACCATTGCTCTTCCTTTATTTGACAGGTGCATATTTGTCTTCTTTTGTGGCTGTATTACATAATCTGATTATAACCATCTGGATGTCTTTCTATTTCTATTTTGTATTTGCTGATGTTGACAATGTGGACATTAATGTGGAATGTCCTTCCTTTCTTTGATGGGGAGCATGCACCTCATTAATTAATTGTGTACTAACAAATAAACAACAACAACAAGGAGAAGAAATTCATTCAGCCGTAAATCAATACCACAGCTCTCTGTTTCCAATTACTGTGTGTGTCATCAAGAGGCTCTTCAGAGCTCTCCAAAGTTCTTGTTTTTGTTAACTTGTTATTTTCTGCTTCTATTTTCCACACACTTGACATAGCACGCGCGAGGGTTTGCTCGTATTTTACACGCCATCCCGCCCCCTTCCCGAAAAGCTCTCTGCTGTTTCTCCAACCCCAGTGGCCTGTCTGTCAACCCTTGTTCCCATGGCAGTTAGTTAGGAACCTTGGCCAATTATCTGCTGGTCTTGAACACACGCCCACCAAACTGCTCAGAGCGACGACGTGCCACCAACTCTCCAAGACCCCTTCAATGGCTGCGAGAGATTTGTGTGATGGGTTAATGGTGGGATAGTAAAAGTGCAGCGGAGGCGACATTGTTGAGTTCATGTTGGTTCAGAGTGCGCTGTGACCCTATTGAATGTTTTATAGTGATGGGTGTCTATCTATTCAGCTGAGTGGGACAAGGGCCACATAAAGAGAAGTAGACAACACAGAACCATAAAAGCCTGGCACAGACTCGAGGCGTGATTCAGAAGAGACGGACGTTAAGGAGAAAGTGCACGTCTGACATGGGGTGTCTCAGTGAGTCCTGCACTGATTCACGGGAAGGCAAGACTAAAAAGCTGCAAGCCATGCTGCACAACCTGTTACATACTTTGCCAGGCAAAGCAACAGAGATTGAGTGTCTTTCTATTCTGTGTGTAGGTGACGCGTCCCCTCAAGAATGTGGTTCTCTTCCTCTCGCCGTTCGCCTCAATTTCCCCTCTGGTTGCTTACTTCACTCACACAGCCGAGGAGCTGTCGCTTGAGGAATCTGGAAAACACCAGTGGGGAATGAGAGGAATTTCTGCTTTTCGTTTTTCCTTAACCACCCCCTCACCCCTTGCTCTCTTTACTTTGGACGCCTCTGCACAGCCGAGCTCTTGAGTTTTCTCTTGTTTCTGAATGCAGCCCAACAATAACAACCTCTCATAAACAATGGGGCTTGTTGATTGGGGGGTTGAGAAGGAGAGTGGCCGTTGCTGGCCCGTGCAGTCGGTTTCGCTGGCAGTGGGCCTCACGAACGGTCCTTAAAGTCCGAAAGTACAGGCTACATCGAGGACTGTGAAAGATTTAAGGGCAACTTTAAAAATGCACCATCTCTGAAGGACCATAAACACATGCTTTAGCTCTTTCTTAATCTATCTTTCCTCCAAAAGGACTTTGATGGACCAAACTCTGAAAGGGGATGCTGGTCAATGTCAGGAAACCACAAAAGTACAGGGAAAAAAATGGTAGTTTTGGAATTCTCCGCTTTTACAGCACCCGTGGACTCGTAAAGGGAGTCTGGATCACGTCGAGTAGGATTTTGAACAAGACGACCGTGGAGCTTTGCCCCATCCTTCCAGCCCACGGGCAGCTAGAGCACAGCAAGAGTCACATGGCATTTAAACAGTCAAGCAATAGTTAAACCCTGTGTCCGTGACAAGGAAATGATAATTCAGAGCGATGTGTCCTGGAATAACTCTGTCTCTACTGTTTCCATCCTGGAAGATGATGCTGCACATTACTGGACATTGTCCCTCATCTGCTGAACCGTTTTTATGACTCTCGCATCAACTAAATCAAAATAAAATGTCAAAAGAGATTCTTGTGAATGGGGTGGATAAACAAACCACTGTATTTTATTATAATTTCCTACAGGCTGCATACCAGAGCAAGGCCTCTGGAAATACAAGAGTTTTTCCAAAATATCTAAGATGCATAAACAAAACAATACACAGTCCAGTGCTTTCTGTATCAACAGGCAGGTTTGGGGTGCCCCCTTGTGGTCAAATGATGACATTTAGCAGGGTAGAAAGCACATTTGTGGCCATCATTTCCTGTCTCTCATCACAATATATTAGCCTGTACAACAAAAAGTTATATCAAGAAATCTTTAACGAAATCGTGTTTAATCTTTTAGAGCTTTAAACTTTATTTATAGGATAAAGAATCACTGCACAACCAAAATTTAACACATTCTGAAAAATCATTCATTCATTCACTCACGCACACACCAAGCACTCATCGAAACAGGCATCTGTGTCTGGAATTAGTGACAGCCAGGTGTCACTGGTCTTCATTTGCCTGAAGGCTTGAACGGATCAGACCATATCTTCACACCTTTTTGGGGAAAAAGAAATAAACAGCGTCAGCAAGAAAAGGATAATGTGAGAGAACGGATGACGCACTGAACTGCACATAAAGTAGTGGCTATTTTTCTCACTGTGTCTTTTTTAACCATGTGTGCAATTAAATGAAATCTCAATTTACCATACTTAACGGACAACGAGTGTGGCTCAACGTATACTGTAGGACAGCGCAATGAGTTCCTAAAAGTTTACATTCAATATATTTTCGACTGATCTATGAGGTCCTGAAATATGATTAAAATTGTCCAGGTCAGAAAGTAAATCAAACAAGATATGTTGTAAAGGATGGCTTCAGACAAAATACAAAAAGGGAGCAGATCTGTATGGAGCCAGTCCATCTGTGTAGGGTAAACATATGCATAAAACATCTTGTAAATGGTAAATTATGTAAATTTACATTAATATCAGTAAGTCAGAAAGTCAAGTGGATAATGGCCAATTGCAAAAGTTGAATAAAAGTGAAAAAAAAAATAGCACAGCACACTGAATGTTTATTTACAAAGATTTCAGACTATGTCCTTGATCGAGTATATAAAATACCTGTCATGTAGACTGAAGCATTCTAAATAAATACACCATAAATATACTGCAGTGACAAAACCACCACCCAGTTCAAATCTACTATGTGCTCTTACCCACGGGTTGAATATCTGCCTGGTTGATTCCTGCCCGGTTCATCTTCTGGACTTCTCCTAGCAAAGAGAGAACAGCACAGTACATTTAGTGGAAGACTTTTGTGGCCAAAATCATAAACAAGATTTCCGCAAAGCAGCTGGTTACTATCAGTCTTTATTTTTCTCTTTTGCTTGCACTGTCAGTAACACTAGAAGAGGTTCATCCATGGTTTTACTGTATGTCCTGACTGTAGCTTTCCATCTGTGCTGGCCAGAGCTGGCTGGACATAATATGGTGAAACTACAACTATTTCGCTTAATGTATTTTCCTGGCATTCTTCTGCCTTTGTCTTAGCAGGTTTAGCTACATGTTTATGGTTTTGGGAAAGTGGAAAGGAAACCTCTCCATGTGCAGTGAGAAACCTCTATCGCTGGGTGGACAACACTTTTAACTTTAGCCACATCTAAGATAAAAGTTTATGTACATAAACTTTTTTTTTCTCTTTGGATTTGTGAAGAGCTTTTGATTAATGTTTTGGGGACATAAATCCCGAAGTTCATCGAGTTTAAAGACTTAAAAAGTGCCAGAAAACAGAGGTTACTTAAACTAAATATGTGCCAACGCGTAACAACATATTAGCTAACGTCTCCTAGCTAAAACCACTAGCTTACAGTATGTTTTGCCAACTAAAGCAACGCGAAAAATAATTAGCACAATGCTAAAATCTTCATACGTAGCAACATATTAAATGACATTAGGCTGGATATTGTAAACAGTCTGATTGTGTAACTGAAACTGAAGGATAACTTAAAGCCACTTACTGTACTCTTCGTTATGCGTGAGGGGGTGGAAAAATATGGGGTAAAACGCTGCGGCAACCGCTGTTATAAAGCCGCCAAATACAAATGCAATTCTCAAATTCTTTCCCATTTTTATGTTACATTGGAGGGTATGCTTTCACCTCCAAACGTGCACTGTGTTTACAATGATTGTTTCCGGCGTTAAAGGTCACCAGCGCACTTTAACTAGCTTGGTCTGTCTGGGCTTCCGTACTGAATAAATTTGAGTCGTCAGAATCACATGTTGCAGCACAACAATAACAAGGAAGAAGATCTTTCTAAGATGATATAACGCTTCTCCTTCTTCACCGGATAAAAAAAGATGAGATTTTTAGTCGTGTTTGTTTTTTGTTGCTGCTTCTCATATGGAGTGACAGGCAGTGAAAAGGAGCCAATTCAGACATTTGTAATTCCTCACAGTCACATGGATGTTGGCTGGGTGTACACTATTCAGGTAGGTTTCAGTGTCTAGCTTTCTAATAAGGTGTTAAACCTCTCAAGCATAATTATACAGCCTACAGTTTAATAGTTTCTTTTCACCAAACTACTATAACTCATATAATGTGGATAAATATGTGTGTTGTCTGTGTAAATATGAATTTGAGTATGTATTTTCTGTAGGAGAGTATGCACGCTTATGCAGCCAATGTGTACACCAGTGTGACTGAGGAGCTGTCTAAGGCTAAAGACCGCAGGTTCATCGCTGTGGAGCAGGAGTTCTTCCGGCTGTGGTGGGACACTGTGGCCACAAACACTCATAAAAGACAAGTAAGGATATGTGATGAGTCACTACTGTGTTCTGACATAAAATAATTCAAGATGGTCTCATTAAATTGTTTCTACGCCATATTCTTTGAAGAGATACTCCTATATTGCACTTTCATAAAGTTAAGGGGTTTGCAAGAAACAGATTAGAAAAAGATTAGTCAAAATGAAAGCACCAGAGACCAATATATATCCTGGTTTTAGTCCCTGTTTTTATATACTGAGTAGCTCTGAATTGATCTTCATGTTTAAAGTCAGTGGAGTCACCCCTTGCATGCCCAGTAAATAATTAACATGTTATGGTTTGGTTGGTTTTCTAGGTGCGACAGCTTGTAAAAGAAGGCCGACTGGAGTTCATCATCGGGGGCCAAGTGATGCACGACGAGGCTGTAACTGATCTAGAGGATGAGATATTGCAAATGACAGGTAGTACTTCTAATTTCCTGCCGCTGTAACCTGCAATTCCAGTGACGGCTCGTGTAGTAACCCAGTACCTTCCTGCTGATTCAGAGGGACACGGCTTCCTCTACGAGACGTTCGGGGTACGTCCTCAGTTCTCCTGGCACGTGGATCCATTTGGAGCCTCTGCCACCACGCCGGTCCTGTTTGCCCTGGCAGGTTTCAACGCCCACCTCATCTCACGCATTGACTATGACCTAAAAGACACCATGCAGAAAAAGAAGGTATTAGTTGGTGCCTCAGTTGGAAATATAAAGTAGATTTGTACTCCTCACTTTGTAGTAAATAGTCACTGCATGTTGTTTATCTATTTTTCTGTACAGAACCTACAGTTTGTGTGGAGAAGTTCTCACTCTCTAAAGGATAAGCAGCAGATCTTCACTCACACTATGGACCAGTTTAGTTATTGCACTCCATCCCACCTGTCATTCTCAAACAGGTATATCACATTCAGACTATTTGTATGACTGCTTTTATCATTCTACCAAAACCCAAATCTCATAGGCTATTAAGATAATTGACAACAGATAAAACTGCATTACACTGGTTACTGATATAAATAAATGTTATTTAATAGGAAAAAAACTGCAATTTGTCAACAAAAACATTTTGTTCTCAGCTCTGGTTTCTACTGGAACGGAGTTGCTTTGTTCCCAGACCCACCTAAAAATGGAGTCTACCCCAACATGAGCCTGCCCGTCACTAAGGAGACAGTACACGCCTACGCCCAGACCATGGTGGAGAACATCAAGCAGAGGGCAGCATGGTTTAGGACCAACCATGTGCTCTGGCCATGGGTGAGTAAACAGGAACCTGGGATTATTTTATTTTGGATCAAATCCAGTTCAGTAATTGTCTTTTACATGGAGAGCTCCAGTGAAAACATATGAGCAGAAAACATTTATTTAGTAAAAAAAATCCTTATCCCTTACATAAATGTTTTCCCCTTGTGTTTCAGGGCTGTGACAAACAGTTCTACAACTCATCTGTGCAGTTCAACAACATGGATCCTTTAATGAAGTACATCAACCAGAACAGCAAAGAGTTTGGTGTGACAGTCCAGTATGCCAGTCTAAGTGAATACTTCCAAGCCATCTACCAATCAGATCTTGTTTGGGAGAGTCGGGGCAGTGAAGATTTTCTGCCATATTCCACCGGTGAGACCTGCTAACATTAAAGGAAGGAAATGAGGCACAGTCAAACAGAGTTTTCTTGTTGATATCATCTACTGTGACTAATGCGTTTTATTTCCTAGAACCATACCAGGCATGGACAGGATTTTATGCCTCCAGAAATGTTTTAAAAGGGATGGCACGGCAAGCTAGTTCCCAGCTGCACGCAGCCGAGACTCTTTTCACACGGTATCGAATCAGCTTCCCCGACGGACCTGTGGCTAAAGACTGGGCCCTGGACAAGCTGAGAGCACTTCGCTGGGCTGTCTCTGAGGTAAACTGTCTATTGGACTGCCTTATCACAGAGGGACGACAGGACAAATAAAAGCTCACAGTCCCAACACCACAAAATGTGATTTGGCGTGTGTTTTTAGGTGCAGCACCATGATGGTATCACTGGCACAGAGTCTCCCAAGGTGGCAGACATGTACATGCAGCATCTCACGCAGGCCATGATGGGAGTGGAGGAACTTCTCGCTGCGCTCTTTCTGCTGCCCCACCACCTTGACATCCCCAGCATGCTCAGCAGCCACTATCACAGAAAAGGTGTTTTAGAAGAGGGCTGCAGCTTCCTTTAGCATGCTAATATTGGCGCAACGTGTGTGCTTTGAACTAAATGCTAACACGAGCATCGAGATTAGTCTCAAACACACATTTAGGTTAACATTTGAATAAACTGTAATTGATCTCTTCATGCCAGGTGTTCATCAGACTCTGGAGCAACATGTCATCGTTTACAACCCCTTAGCATGGAACATCACCACTATCATCAACGTCACAGTAACCTTCCCAAATGCAGCCGTCTTTGATGATGATGGACAGCCTGTGCTGGCACAGGTATTATTATCATTTTTCTTGTCTCAAAAGCTCAGAAAATCTATTTAGTACATCTGAATAAGGCTACATGTAATAATATCTTCCTGTCTGTAACAGATCCAGAAATCAGCACAGTCCAATGTCACCTATGATCTTTTCATCATGGTGGACCTGGGAGGCCTTCAGCATAGAAAATACTTGATTAAGTTCTCTGGCAAGCCGTGCTCTGGGAAGTCCAAGTGTAGCTGGACTTATGAAGCTAAAGGGGTTCTGTTTGAGAGACGCCACGTCCAGGACTGGACAAAAACAGGGAGGAGGCTTCTACCAGTTCTGAATGAATGTTACAAGCTCATGTTTGACCAGGATACCAATCTACTGCACAGCATCACCTATCTGTAAGATCTGACATATTCCCACACTCATTCCTTATACGATATGATACGCGTTGTATCACGAGTGTTTTAGCAGTGTTATGAAATAATTTGAGCACCATGATACTGTATTTACATTTAAAACTTTTAACTTCCGTGGTTCACTAAAACTCATGCTTTTCTTTTGTGCCATTGTAACTCTCTGACCTTTGACCTCTCTGTCATCCTTGGTAGTGAGGAAAAAATGAGAGTAAGGATGACTCAGGATTTCTGGGAGTACCACGCAAACGGAGACGTAAAATCAGGGCCCATCTCTGATAACTACATCTTCAGCACCAACGGTTCGGCTGTGCGGGCCTACAAGTCTGTGGAAATGGAGATTATCCCCGGGAAGATTGTGTCTGAGATCAGGCAATACTTCTACAGGTGGGTTAAAGGAATTTGTTTTTGATTTTCTTATAGTATATTTTGGTCTCTCCTCTCTTCTCAGCCCTAATTGTGACATCGACTCTTATCATTTAACATCTTTTTTTTTTAGAGAGGAAAGCGATAAAGATTACGCTTATTCAATCACCACGCGTGTCCCAGAATGTTTCGGGACCAGACTGCGGTGTCATAGGCTGGAGCAAACCTATTCGCTGGGACCCCTCCATCTCAACACAGAGGTCGTCCTCAGGACCAGCTCTGCCCTGAAGAACAACAGGACTCTGTACACAGATGACAATGGTTACCAGATGATGAAGAGACCACACAGGAAGTTCACTAACAACACTTTAGCAAGAGTAAGTCCTTGGAAAAAGTGGAGATTCATGCTGCAGGGTATTTCCATGGTTTAAATTCTGTAATTGGTCCCAGTGAGTTTAAAGTATTCTAATATGGAAAGTAATCCACATTAACACGTGTGCTGCAGAACTACTTCCCCATGGTTCGGACAGCCTTCATTGAGGATGACCTCAGCAGACTGGTGCTCACCAGCGACAGAGCGCACGGTGTGTCCAGCCAAGCCAGCGGACAACTAGAGGTAGAAAAAGCCATGTGAGCACACACTCACATCTCTTCTCTTCTCTGCTCACACAGAAACATGTAAACATCCTGAGGTTTGTTTGGTTTGTTTTTTTGTTTTTTTTTTTACCCCCCAGGTCATGCTCCATCGACGTCTTTGGAACAACTTGCCCTGGAACCTCGGCTACAACCTGACCCTCAATGACAGCTCAGTTGTAAGGCCCACCCTGTGGATGACGCTTGGCTCCATCAGCACCACCTCCGCACTTTACCAGAGGGAGGCAATAGAGCTGCAGCACAGACCTGTCATCATGCCTATAGACCAACCTCGTGAGTGCTCGTTTTTGTAAGGCCGCATGACAAAAAAAAACTTAAAAAGTAAGGAAAAAATGATGGAAATATAAAAAGTATTAAGACCGGACAGGAACTGTGTTTTGCTCCCCAACACTCAGAGAAGCCCTGGCTGGAAAAGGAGCCCAGAGGAAGTTCTCCTGTGCGTTCAGTCGTTTTGCCACCAAACCTCCACCTGCTCAGCCTCAGTATCCCCGGATGGAACTACAGCTCGAATCATGACGTTCACCTCAGTCACATACACTCGGGTCAGCAGGGAGAAAAATAAAAATAAAACTGGGCACATCAAAATCTGTCCATTCTCTTTGTTGTTTGTTTATGGAATTCAATTATGTCATTTATTTTTGGTGCATCTAGGTAAGGATCTGCGCTCAGAGCCGGACTACGATCGAATCCTGGTGAGAATCATGCATCTGTATGAGGAGGGAGAACATCCTGAGCTTTCAAAGCCAGTCACAATAAACTTAAAGGTGCTGATAAGTCATCTCTACATATTACTGTCTTGGTGTTATAAGAGGAAACCCTTGAATTTTCATAATTTTAAAAATAGAGTTTACTTAATCTTTTTTTTTTTTTTCTTCAATGGTCATTTCCTGAATGAGCAGGATGTTCTGCAGGGCATAGGGGAAGTAAAAGTGCTGGAGGAGCGTTCTCTCACAGGAACCTGGGACATCACCAGTCTGCAGAGGTGGAAGTGGAAGACTGCAGATAACTTAGAAACAAGTGAGACATGGCTGAAAAACAGGAGAACAGCTGAACAGCAGTATCTTCTGATTATGTCCAGTCTTAGTAATACACTACAATTCACTGTTTTGATGTATTCATTAAGTGAAACGACAGCTTCTTCCTTCTCGTGCTCATTCTCTGCCGCCTTTTTCTTTCTTTTAGAGAACAAATGGTGTTGGAGATGTGGAGAAGAAGCTTTCACTGTCAGCATCTCACCCAAAGAGATCAGGACCTTCTTCGCTCACTTAGTTTCTAAGAACTTTTAGGCTTAACTGTCTTTTGTCTTCTGTGAAGATAGCCAATCTTCAGAAATGTAATGTGACTTGCTTTTTAAAGATGTGATCCTTTGCTACACTGCTAATGAATGCTCTTCTTGCACATTATGTTGATTTGTTAAGAGGCACTGATGTGTTGATGGGCTGTGGATATTCCCACTTTGAGTCCCTGTTGACTCTCACTGAATAAAGTGATTATTTTTGTCTTGTTCAAATGTCTGTGTCAGATTTCTGACTCCTCTCACCCAACTAACACTACAGTAAAGTTAATCTGATGGGACCAGCATGAAATTATAGATTAAAAAAAAAACTACATATGGCGGTCCATTTACTCCAGGCAAAGCTGCTCAAACATTTTCCCACCTGGAGTCATGAATTTCTATAACGCATTTAACCAGTCCTTGCAGAGCTTTAAAATTCTTCTTCAAGTGTCTTAAAATCAGTTTTGTCTCCGACTTATTGCCAGTGGAGAGAGGCTGATACAGGGGAGATATGGCCTCTCTCTTTTTTATATGGACAGATGTTTTCTTCTTATATAGCTATTCTATATGTTTCATTCTTAATAGACGGATATGAGGGTGGTATCGATTAAAGTGAAAGAATGTTTTCAATAATGTCAAACAATTCCTTTAAATAAAGAGGCCCGAGTAAGGTGGGTGAGACCAAGGACCCTAGGGTCAAAAATGAGGACTCACGGTGTTGGTTAAACATTCAAGTTACCTGGCTGCTCAGTGACATTTTTGGCTGCACTGGTTCAACAGAGTCGATCATCTGTGCTCGTCTTTACAGTTTGCAGCTTTACTGGAAAAAGGTAGTCTGCCAACATGGCCGCTAGGGGCCTCACACGCCCATCACCAATCCTAGTTCACGGTGCAGCCGACAGCGAATAAAGCAAAAGGGCACCACCCGAGGAGAGCAACCCCCCTCGGCCCGTGTGTGCATCGCCGCCGCCGCAGCAGCAGCAGCAATTCATCGGAAAAGATGAGGTCGGATTTTAAATAGCAGACTGCGGGGTTTTTAGTGTCGGCATGCAGTAGCTAAACGCGCCATGATCGCCTGGGAAGGAGACGACCGTTGTCTGCCATTTGGATCAAGATGAGCGGCAGCAGTGTGAGTCCTGTTCTCCTCATTATGTGTTTCTTTTATCAGCTGCAGGGTTTTGAGTAAAAGTCGCACCTTGACGGATACGATTTAAGAGCTTACGGTGCATTTTGCTGCGTGAACGTGACGTTTTCGGTCTCCGGCTTATTTCACTGTCCCTAATTTGCATCGTTTAATAAAACGAATGAAGTCTTTGTTATTGATGGAGATGCGGGATGCTGTGAGGAGGAGGCGTTGCACGTGTTGCTAGGATACTCGACTAGAGGATGCTGGGAGGGTGGCATCGCCCACAGGTCTCCCTCAGGTGCTGGAGGGATTTTGAGGTCAGGCCTGTTGGATGTGTGTGTTGAAGATGAGGAATATTAACATGTGTGTTTTGTGTTTTTGCCTCTTCTTTGTGTCTGTGTGTGTGAATAGAAAAGAGAGAGGGAGCAGAAGAGGAAGCTGCAGCACTTTCTGAGTGACCTGGCTTTGCTTGGATCATTACAGGTTTGACCACACGTGAATGAATGCAGAGGACATTGAACACACAGTGTGCCGAGCAATCTCGTGCAAAATTGTATTGTTTTACTTGCAGGGCTTTAAATACTTCCAGCCTTGGCTCAGAGGGAAAGAGGAGTTGCTCCTGACAGTCGTCAACGAGGATCTGGTCAGTTTCTGTCGACAAAAAACAAGTAATAATATGTGAGAATCTGTCTTGTACACAGTGCTGTCTGCTTTATGTCATTTTCTGTTCTTACTGTCTTGTCTATACGACATAATAAATGCCACCCTCACCCGTCTCCCCCCCATGCTCTCCTGCAGGGTTGGCGATCCCCAGGCTTTGTGGTGTCCAGAGCCTCCTCCTCCTCCTCCTCCACCAGCAGCTGTAACAGCAGTAATGTCTCCCCCAGCAGCAGCTCCCCCAGCCTGGCCAGTCGGAGCAGCTCTCCCCTGCCCGGGGAACCTGTGGGCCCTCGAGAGCCCCCCACGCAACCACGCACCAAGACGCAGCCGCAGACTGCCAGGTGACTGATGCCACTGATGGGGCTTGTGATGTTGGTGTTGTTGTCTTGTCTGAAATTTACAAACAACATTATGAAGTAGCATCTTGACTGACATCTATATACGCATCACTTTTTTATTTTTTAGATTAAACAATTAGTAAAAAATCTTTAGCTGCAACCATGCATATCGCACAGTTCCCAGTAGTCTGATTACTTCTTTTTCTTTTTCAGTGTCCACTCGTTCAGTTGTTTATCTATGGGACGAATGCTCCTGATGAGGCTTTAGCTAAACATTTAACAGGCCATCTTAAACTGATCAGATACACGTATACAGACCTGCTTGCAACCACACTTAAGATACACATTGGTTGACCTCTTTCTGTATTCTTAGGGACCCCGGCAGTGAGGAGCATCTTCTCCCAGCATCCCCCAGTGAACGAGAGATAGCAGTGCCTGTAAGCGCATCAGCCAAAGTCTTGATTTAGTTTTCTTCTCCTAACCTCAGAGTTCAATATTAACTCACTCACTCTGTCTCACTAATCTCCACTTTGTCCCTCAACAGGAGGTGAACTGCACTCTGTTTTTACTGGCCGGCTACGTCAAGTACGGGCGCCCCTACGCCTGGATACGCTCCAATCACGAGCGCCTGGTCAACATCGGAGGCACCGATTCGATGGTCAAGGACACGCCCATGAAACTCAAGTCCATCTCAGACTGGCAGACGCGAGGTATGGAAACAATGTGAGGAATCCAAACCGGAGAAAGTTATTGTTTCACTGCACAGATTCAATAATTACACCATTTTCCATGAGCTAAATCAGATGCAGATGTCTTTGCTTGAGTTTAACCTTCTTAGAGAGCACTGTTTGGTGTGGATTAGGGTTGTGGAAAAAAGCTCTGGGTGCTTTAGTTTGAAAACTGTTCCACAAATGTTTTACTTGAATAAAATCCCTCGTTTTTTTTTTTTTTTTTTCTTTTTCCTGCAGGTATTCGTGTGTGGGACATCGTCAGTGAGCTGGTGAGCCTGTGCACCGTTCCCTCTCCTTCAAACCCCTTCGCCCTGGACATGCGTTACATCAAAAGTCTCCCCCTCCCCGACCGATTCCTCGTCACAGGCGCTCTCCTCAACTTCCTGGAGATGTATGTGGTGTACGGGAACCGGGACGAGCTGCACTATGACAAAGGTAACACTCATCTTAGATAATCATGGAGAGCAACAGGTGGTGTCAGTATTTTCAAACTACAGCACATCATTATATTTAAATGCACTATTTCTATTACTATTGACGCCAGCAGGTGATGCTGTTTAGCTACGTGACAGAGATAAGACACGGCCTTTCTCCCGCTCATGCCACATTTAAATTTTTAAGTTATCAGCTCCTGTTTTTGATGATTTCATCGTTTTTCTCTTTTCAGTTGTAGAGGAGGTGAAGCCTCTGAGGCGTTTCCATGTCCAGTCCCTGCTGGAGTTACAGCGACACAGAGAGGCCTCCAGGCCGAGCAGCAGTCCAACAGCGCGGGACTCTTCTGGAGAGGAGTGACCGCAATTGATCCGTATAAAGATGAGATGTCCTCGGTGCACTTTTAATAACTTCTTGTAGGAAAACAGAGACAGCACATAGGTTGAAGTGCATGAAATCACACCTGAAGGACTGTCTGTAGGTGAATGCTGTTATGTTTTAAAGGATTTTTCGTGCTTTGGTGTGTTTAATGATTGCATTGTTTGACTCGTCGTGAGTGTTTGTACCCCGTGCGAACTAAATGCCCGAAGAGAGCTCTCGTCACAGTATTCATAACGCGCACACACTGTACAAATCTGTTTGTTTCAAGGCTGCGCTGTCCAGTTGGGAGCTGCATCTGCATCTTTACCACAGTTGGAAGGTAGTCACATGTACCAGATGTTTTGGAAATGTGAAAAAAAAAAACAAAAAAAAAAAAAACACTGGAGAATAACCCTGGGAAATGAGTCACATGACTGAGATTAAACATCCCAGGACCTCTCTGAATGCCTTGCCCTGCACCCCCCAAAGCCTTCAATCTCAATCTCTTCCTCTCCCCCACACACACACACACACACACACACACACACACAGAGTTAAAAGACAGGAATTCTGTTTTCATTAGGCCAAATATAACATTTCAAAACTTGAGTGTTCAATCCTGGAAACAGAATCATCTATCAGGGTCAAAGCTGCAGAAGTTAAATATTTGTTTTCTTCAAAGTTAGAGCAGCATGAGAAAAACATGTAAAGACAACAAACAAAAATGTTGTATAAAAAGTTTTAATAATTCATAAAATACATATTTAAATATGTACAATGACAAAACAGTACATTGATAAAATATATCTTAAAGCAGGCACTTTAACCCCTTTTATGAGATGAAGGTTGTGCCGTTTGTAAAAGATACATCAAAGTGTACAAAAAGTTAAAATTAACCGATAAAAACCAAGTGGCACATCAGTCAAAAACACAGGCACCTTTCCTGTTAAAAAATATCTCTAGCTTACTTTTGGTCAGAAAACACGAAATGAGAACTGAATGGTCGCCTTGGGGTGTCCAACTAATCCTCAAGTCTCTCATTTGTAAACCTTGGATAGAAATCGCCCTCATGAGAGCATGTTATGCAATACTGCACATATCAATGCCTATAACCGTCACTTTAAATGGACTTAAAAACCAGTCAGGGCACCTTTTATGGCTTCGGTAATGTGAACAAGTCGAGAGCTCAAGAGTTAAAAGCGTACTGTAGCATCTACTGATGAGGCCGCTCCAAATGCAAAGTCATGGTTGGACATGGGAGAAGAATTCAGGGCTTTTAAGAAGATTCTCCATCTCAGATTTCCCCCCTATTGGAATGCAGGTGCATGGCCGCACATTCCTCACAGAGGCTCCACATGGGAACACAGCGTTCCCAGTGTTCGGACGCAAACAAACTCGCAAGTCATGGCTGAGTGTGTTCCCACGTAAATGCAAATAATTTATCACTGTGGACGGTCAGGATTTTTTTTGTTTGTTTGCAGGATTTTTGCAGGATGTTGCTATAGTGTGCAAGGGGATACTTCTGTTTTTATTTACAATGCAGGTGCTGTGCCTGTCATACAATTCATAGAAGCAAATTGCCTCTTAAAATGCAGTAGGAAATGATATAATTAAACTGATGTGTTCAGGTGTCAAATTTTACAGCTGGAAATTTGGAAAGTGCTCAGAAACTACTAACTAAGTAACTACATTCTATGCATTACAGACTATAGCTAATTTTACTTCACTTTTGTATGACATGACAGCATTGTCCTACATTATGTAATCTTGGCCCGAAACTCTCACAACATAGATTAAAAGTGTGGTTGTGTCCATCCAATTAAAAAAAGAAAAAAAAAACATAGTTGCTAGTGCCACATGGTTTAAAAAAAAAAAAAAACAACAACATAAAATCATCATGACCTGTAACAAATGTCAGTTAAATAAAAATCAGCCTTCAGAAGCATCAGGACTCTCGTCGTCTTTTCCAGTTTTGCCTGTGGATCATTTTGGCCAACAGCCAGTATCGTTGTTGGTTTAAATCGTCTCTTTCCAACAGACCAAACCCTTCGGTGGCTTCAGTATCAAGTAGACTCCTTAAAAACAAACAAGCCAACCAAAAAAGGGCCACAAACATGAATCAGTCGGGTCCTCAAATGGCTCGCAGCCAGTCACTAGTCCACACATTGCTGTTGACAGGCAAACAAAAGGAAGCTGTCAACAGCATCTTGTGCTGCATCGGACGCCACATTTGCAAAAGTCAACAGACGACTTTGCTGCGTCACAAACCGTCAAGTCCATACACTCACTGATTATGGCAACATCCTCCCACAAGCAGAGTACTCAGACAATATGTCCAAATATGGACTTTCCCACTTCCCAGTTGCATCCCCTTTGTCTTTCCTTCTGTCTTGTTATCACTCCCTAACTCCCTTCAGTGCTGTGATCCTTGAGGTTGTCATTAGGTAGATGTGGTCCCATGTTTGAGGGGTTAGAGTCAGGGTTCAGTTCCAGCTGTCAGAGGCAGATCCTCTTCTGGTGATGGCCCTCATGGGGCTGCGAGAGACAGAGCCTCGCTTCTTCCAGCGGACTGAAAAGGAAAAAGACACTGGGTCAATGATGGTAGCTTGGCAGCTTCAAACAAAAAGTGAAAACTGGTGTTTAAATATTAATTATAAACACACAACCAGCCCCAACAGTTTGTCCACCTTGACTCTAAAGTGTCCTAGTGTGGCTATTCATTTACTTCTACCTACTTCAGCACTTGGTTTTCATTACTTTCACCCAGGAGCTTGAGGTCAAAGGTTTAAATCAACGACTCTGCCCCACAAAGCCAAAAAGTAGCAGCTACGTAGCTGATTAAAATTCAGCCAAGACCAGAATCTGACTTTAGCATAACTGTTAATATTATATATATATAATATAAAACCAATTTTGCTATTAAAAAAAGTGTATTTTGTCAGAAGAAAACAGCATGTTATGTTCTTGCTAAAAGCTAACTAGCCTAGCTGAGCAGAAGAGCAGTAACAGTCTCTCTCAGCCTCTGGCTCCAGTGGACCACATTATTTGATGCGGCCCTGTTACCTTAAAATCCCATGTATTCAATTAAAAATTCATTTATTAAACTAGCTCACTGGATCAGATGGATAAGAAAGTTGAAGAAACAGAATCAAGTATCTGTAAAGTCTGTGGCAGTGATTAATAATCAGCCTAAAAAGGCATAAAACTAATTTGTTACATAGTTTGGCTGTTTCTATAATCATTGCTCTCTGCCTTTGTACATCTGTACAGTCATCTCACCTTTTCCCAGACTGGCAGGCAGGGTGGAGCTCTTTGTGTTTACAGGAGAGTTGGATGACTCCTCTACACGTTTCCCCTTCACCTCCCCTGGCGTCAGAGTGGCCGAGCCGTCCTGCTGCCAGTCGCTCAGCGCCCGCTGGAAGGAATGAGCCAGGCAGGCCGTCATGTCTCGCGCCCGCTCTGCCCGGCTGCACCAGAACACCCGACACTGCAGCTGCTGCCCGTGATGCTTGCAGATGTACAGGAAGACATTGGGCCGGTTGGCATCAGCGGCGCAGTACGCAATGTCCTGCAGGTATGTCTTAGTGAGCTGCCGGCCGGTGCTCAGCTCCTTGACCTCGACGTATCTTGGGCGCACCACCAGGGCGTGATCTTTGCTCAGCTTCTTCCCATTAGCAATACCTTCTAGCAAGTGGTTAATAGCATCCTGGGCCTGCTCTCGATCCAGAGAGAAGATTTTCTCTGTGCCCAGGTAGTGGACTTTGAAGAGCGGGTCACCATGGGATAAAGACTCTGTGCGGTCGCGGCGAAAGCGGCGACGTAACGCAGCAGGAGAGTTCTTAAGGGTCTGCATGAGGTGGAAAGTGCTGAGAGACATGGTGCGTTTCAGGTTGGATTTGGTGGAAATTTTAGCTGAGGTGTAGGTGCCTGTGGTCAGCTGATCCTCTTCAGAGCCGCTCCTACTCTTCCACCTTTCTTCTATAAACAGAGTGTAGTTGCATCCACTGCTTTTATCTGAAATGAGGCAGATAAAGACAGTGACGTTAGTGGATCCATTTCAAAGACACATGAATGATTAAGTGAGACAGATGCTTAAGCTTTGTTCATATTAAAATAAGGTGAGGGAAAGACTACATCCTGGAATTGGGTTGTTTTGGCACCAAGGATTTTCTTAGGCATGAAGAAACTCTTCATTAGGCTTTTATTGTGCAATCTCGTGTTTACAACTCCTTGATAAGGGGGGTAAAAAAAACATGCAGTCAGCACAACTTGTACTGCAGCGTGGAAAAACAAAAGGCCACCAAACAGGATCAGTAACGTGAATGACGCATTCAGGAGGAATATTCATTCACCACAGACACCAACCATTAAATATTTACAGTTAAGCTTTGCTTGGGCTTTGTCCTCACAGCAGTGGACCCTTAGGAGACGTACAAACACACTGATGAACTGGAAACATGCCAATATAAATTGAAGGTTATTGTAGCACACAGGTGACACAAAGGCAACCAGGCAGGTACACAGCCTTCTTTAAACTCAACCCCACTCTTAGTATTACAAACAACACTCATATCACCATATTATTAGTTACTGGAAGACTTATAGACTTCTGTGACCTCACTAACTCGAGTCTTATGCAACCACATCTGGCCACCCATTGTCTCCAATCCTACATACCCACAGAACTGCCTGTTCTCCATTGTGTTACACTTTATTTTTTCCCCTTTCTCTTTTCTTGGCCATTCTTTCAACATCCTAGCTCCCTCCTCAGAAGTGACTTGCAGAGAGAACCGCCGACTGTTCCAAGGTAGTGGCCATTGTTAGTCAACCCCCTGTGCAGGAAACAGCTTTGCATTCCCCCCTAAATATTTCTACTGCAAACAATGGCATGCTTTTGAGAGTGTGTCACATCACAAAAGAGATGCAAGCTGACCTAAAGCCTAATACGTCCCAGGATATGCACATGTACACATCTAGGTTACTAAAACAAGTAAAAAATAATGAAACCACAGCATTCACTAGGAAACACACATAGACAGATGCACCTATTTTGCATTAAACCAAGACCACTGTGCAACACCTGTCAGTTGACACAGACCTCAAGTGCATCAAACCTGCATAAACAACTGTCCCTCTGTTTGCTGATGGGACATTTCTGCTTATATTTGGATTCTTGGCCAACGCTTCATTCAAAAATCATGTAGCAAAAAATAAAAAACTATTCAACTGAAAGTCAAGTAAGAGACGCTATATTCAGGACTCATTTTACTTTTAAGGATGCATCCCACAAGGCAGAACTTAACACATGGGATATGGTTCACCTAGTCTTCCAGCCACCAGAGTAAAAAGCAAGCAATAGAGGGATGGCAAACAATATTTGAAGGCTTTAGTATAAGTAAGTGCTTCTTCCTTTTAGGCCGAATTAACTACCAGAGCCTAGTGATTACTCAAAACAACTCAAACATGTGATGTTCGACACATCATCTCAGGAATAAGCGAGATCACATGAAATTGGTAGATTTTAGAGCGTGGTTCGGTGTGCCCCGGAGCGTCCCTGAGAACTCGGGGGCAAAATAAAAAAAAACCTGCTAAACGTTGTCATAAAAACCATTTACTTTTCTCAGAAGTTATTGCCAAGAGGAATAAAACAATGTTTAAAGAAACGTGTTTAAACTTAAATTACAACTGAGTTTCAGGTAAGATATTCAAATTATTCTCTGAAGGTTTCCAAAAATGTGTCTTACCCGGGCACAGTTTCATGCAAACGATGTCCTCGTGCGCCTCAGGTGAACCGCGGAGTCCCGGGAGCTTTTCAAACACACTGGGCAGGTGGAAATCTCCTAACCGGCACATTCACACTAAAGTCGGGTCGTTGTCTGAGCCCAGCGTCCCTCTCGTACGCACATAAACGACAGCCACGCGGACACGGAGTGTGTGTGAGACACTTTATGTACTAGATCGGGTCATGATCTCTTTTCTCTGCTCACAGTATGGGTTGAGTGAATCACAGAGCGCGTGGGAGAACCGTTTTAAACAGCGTGGGCGCGACCTCGTCACATACGTGGACGAGCACTTGCGTCTGAGCAGTGAGGAGGCTGGTTGCGGCAGAGGGAGGTCTACCGGGGACGGGGAGGGGGGGTGGTGGTGGTGGTGATGATTTACACGAGAAGAGGGATTTACAGTATATGTCAAGCGAGCCTGTTTTTGTTTTTCTTACTGGCATTAATGTTTTGAGTATAACTAGTTTTTTTTTTTTATGTTTTAAACCCCTTATCACAGTTTTCCTAGTTTGTGTCTCTTAAAGTGAGGGAGAGACCACATCCTCTCTTAAAGTTTGTGTTTCTTAAAGTAGGTTTCAGATTGTTAAAATCAGCATATTTCACTGTGTTCACAGTATCATATGCTGTAAATTATGTATAAGGTATAAGATGAGCAAAATGTTCAAACCCAAGATTCCATGGTTTGTATGGTTCGCTCAAATGTACATCATTATCATTTTATACACATCCCCCCAAATTAATCCTGACACATTTGGTGTCTTTGGAAAATTTTGAAGGTATTTGAGTTTGAACCATCAGGCTGCTGCTTTTTTTATATATATATATAAAGGTAATTAATGCAGAGATTTAAACAAAAAAAAATCTTTTTGGCTTTACCAAAGTAACAAAATAGACATATTATAGGTTCTGACAGGTTATAATTCCAATTAATGTGTAGAAATAAACACCAATAGTAAGTCACCTAACATATGACTGAGTAAAGCAAATTCCTTCATATCATTATGATTTCTGAGCTGAAAATTTAATTATCAATAAATCTGTCAGCTATTTTGTAATTAATCAATGATTATGTCAACAAATCTTAAAAATGGCCACCACAAATTGATCACTTTCCGCAAGATGACATTTCCTGTTTTGTCTAACCAAATGTCCAAAACCAACCTAAATATTCAATTAACAGAGTTATCAAACCGAAAAGTGTCAATCCTCACATTTGATAATCTGGAATCCTAAAACAAACTATTTTTAAATAGATAAACAATTAATTAAATCATCAAAGCTTTTTGGAAATGAATATGAAATATCTTTGAATCTACATGCTCGTTGAGCTATTCATGATAATGTATTAGTTGGGATCATTTCATAAGGCCATGCTCTCCCAGCTGAAAGTTTCACATTACTTTACTTTAGCATATGTGCAATACCATACTGAGAAAACATCTGAAACCCACTACCTCTCATTACCATCACATTGCGTCATAGTCCGTCTCTAATAGGGATCGTTGGTCTCACTGGTTCAGATCTGCTTCAAGTGTTTATTCTGGGGGCATTTTGAACAGTTGCAGAGGAAAACTTTAAACGGTTCCATGTGTGTATGCGTCTGTGCGTCTGTATGTGTGTGTGTGTGTGGCTGGGTGTGCCTGACGTGGGGAAACAGTAGGGCCCCTGTTTCTTCTGGGTTTGGCCCAACAACAGTTAAGTTTTGGACGTCACACTGGCCTCAGTGCCTAGCAGGACACACTGGAACTATTCTTGGGGCACCAGTGACATAATGGGCCATCTCAGACAGGCACCCACCCTCCCTATGTATCTCACAACGTGCAGCAAGAACAGAGTCAGCATCCAAAGTGTGACATGGGCAGGACTGCAGCTGCAGTTCTGGAGCTTGTGAGAGCATGTAGTGGCATGTTGCATTGGAGGTATGGCCTATAGTCAGTGTGTCCATTGAGAGAACCATTCAGTGAGCGCAAACAATGAGGTCTTAAAATGCCCACTTGATTGGTAAAGACTATAGAGGTCAATGCACCATTCAGATAGAAGCTATACCAGTATTCAAGTACAGTAGAAAAGTGCGGGATACTTTACCCTGACTTTTCCTGTAGTGCTTCCATAAGGTTGACATTTATGATTCAGACTGAAATATTTCGGCAACTGTCAGATGGATATTCAGTGAAATATTTCAACATGTACTCGATGGATTGGCACCAAATTTTGTACATACATTTATGGTTCCCGGACAATGTGTTCTAACAGCTTTGATGGTCCATTGACTGTCCCTCTATAACATCACAATGAGGCTGACATTTTAGTTCTTTAGTTAAATGTCTTGATGACTGTTGGATGCCATGAAATCTCGTACTCTTCATTTAGAGCAATCATCAGGTCAAAATTTTAATTTGTCCAATACTTTGGTTTATGACCAAATACCTGCAACACTCCCTTTGGCCTCAGCTGTTCCTTGTGTTTGGTGGCTAATTAGCAAATGTTTGCATGCTAACACGCCAAACTAAGATGGGGAACATGGTATAACACAAAACTATTTTGAGGTATTACTTGTGGATAATGAATTATGTTCTTTAGCTCTTTGTTCCCTGGTTTTGCCTCTAAACGTCAGTGTATTAGCAATGTCATCGCGAGCACGCTGATATTAGCATTAGCTTAAAGCACTGCTGTGCCTAAGCACAGCATTACAGAGCTGCTGCCATGGCAGTAGACTGTTGATGTTGAAAATATTACAGTAGCAGAAAAAAATTGTAGCCATAAATCATCAGTATCAAACATCTGTCCCTCAGAATCAAAGCTCAACATCTTTTTTTAGAGTCGACAATTAGCAACAGGACATTATCATCAGTGGGTGTAGCTGCTACAGACACACCCAATCGTTCAGAAACCAATTGCAGCTATTAATTAAAATGTTCTGACAGCTACTTAAGACTGAAACTAACAAGTTTACCACCATCTGCACAGGTAATTTTAAGTCAATGTGGGAGAAACAGTGGGTGGTGTGAAGGAAAACATTTCGATTTCGAGGGACAAAATCACAGAGTACCTTTAACAAGACAAGCAAGTATTGTAGCTGAGAAAGGGAAAATGAAATGCTTGTTGATGAGACAGAGATTGAATTCATACTAAAGATAGGTAGTAACTGACCCAGACCAGAGGGATATTCCAAGTCAAGGGAAGCAAAGATTCCCCAAGACTACAAGCCTGTTCCAAGAAGCAGCTTTACTGGGTAACCTGGTAGTCTCATATTTACAGAGTTGTAATCTCTGTTCTTGTTGTCACACGGTGTCTTGAGAAGACAAACAGGGATGTAACAATGCTATTATTGGAAACAGGGCAAACAGAGAATTTAGGAAGTAAACTGGCACAATGTAAGCTGTTATCCATTCATGGTAGTGTTTTATAACCAGTTCTCTTTTTCTGGACTGCTGTAAATCAAGTGTTCATGTCACAATCATTGTGGCATGAAAATGAGACATACTGATGTGTATCTACAGAAGCTAGGCTCGAGAACAATGAAGGCAGCATTCCAGTTTGCTATATCTGAGTCCTCTTGAAGCACAAGGCACATTACAATCTGTCCCTGGCACATACAGTGCTATAAAAAGAATCTTATGAACTTGCGCATTCATATGATCATTTTCAGAGCTGCCAATCATTTTATAGCCACATTAGCAGCGAGGCTCTGTGATCAATAATGTCGCTCAGGTGGTCTATCAAATTCATGGTCCCCAGGTGATGAATACTAATGACTTTGTTGGTCCACTATATTTCAATCTCGTGCCATCATCAGGTCAAAAAAAAATTGATTTGTCCAATACTTTATCCCTCGTGTTTTGTGTGAATTAAAAAATGTAAACACACCAAACTAAGATAGTGATAATGGTAAACAATGCTTGCTAAATATAAGTATGTTAGCAATGTCATAGCAAATGTTAGCATACTGGCATTAGCATTTAACTCCAACCTCCTCTATGCCCATAGCTTGCCACTAATATGGCTGTAAACTCTTAGTCTCGTTAGAGTGCATAAATGGTAGAATCAGAACATGTGGTACATACATTTTAGTAAAAATGGTAGAAAAAAATAAAAACCTGACAACAACAGCAACATATTCATAACAACAAATTATTATTATCCTCAATGTCTTATTTAAAATGAGAAAAATTCCTGGTAAAAAAAAGGTTAAATGAAAAACACGTTTTTCAATGGATTAATTGATTACACCGTGATTACACCATGATGACGTAAATCATCATTCATGGTCAAAATGATTAAACTTAAACTTTTTCATGTTTTGTCACATTTGAAACAAATACCAGCGTCACATCTGATTGCAACTGCAGAGTCTATTTGCCAACATCACCTTCTGTGGTCATACCAGTTTTTGTTGTTATTTACTTGAATACCACTCAAACCTATTCAGTACATTTCCAGCAGAGGGTTCAGGGGAAGTAGGATGAGGCGTGAAGATATGAAAACAGGAATGGTGACTGTAGATTTATGGGTGGCTCTGTACCGTTCTCAAATATTTACTACAATAGAGAAGTGCTCTGCACAACAAGTGTGTTAAAGTGTCATCCAGTTCAAGTCATGTAATTGTAGCAGAGGTGCGTTGCATAACTCTGTCAGTCTTGAGCTGTTTGGTGAATTATAAGCAAGCTTTTTCATGGCAAAGCACAGGTGGACCAAAAAGTAATTCTCCGTTTCTGTCAAAATACATGCTGAAGTTTCGGTGAGTTGGTGGGTTACACAACTCACGTGGTCGTGATAACAAGTTTGTTTTGATCATCATTGTCAGAAATATGACATAACTCATCTTATGATGAATTCAAGTAATACAGGATGTTGGTATTCTTGGGAAACAGTAAGAGAGTGAACGTGACCAATCCCATCACCCATTTGCATACTTCCATGGGTTTGGCCCAATCAAGTGACAATAGCTGCTCTCCCAATGTGGTGACCAGATTTCATCATGAGGTCTTTAAATCCAAGTCTTTATCCACACCCTGGTTTCACTTTCCAGAACAAGTATGACAGGCCTCTGGTTTCATAGAAGGAAATGTCTCAGTTACTCAAAAGAGAAGTCATCAGTGGGGGTTCATTGTATTTTCTGGCCTCATTGTCAGGTTTTCCTGTTATTTCCCCAAATTCAAAGGAATCAAATCTGAGGAAATGACTTAAGGACGAGAAAGAGAAG